GGAAAATTATGCCAAATGATGTGAAGTAAAGACCATAAGTCAGAGAATTAAACTGGATTACACTTGGGCTCAAAAAGCAGGAAAAGATATCTAAGACTCATCTATTTTTGCTAATTATTCTCTGAATGGAAAGGAAAATGAGAGGTCATTCAGATGGGAATCACATTCTATATCATTTAACTGTAATGAAATGTCACATTCTGATCCCTTTCTTCCCATTTTTTCCTTAATGAAAATTACACCAAAGGGAGTTCTTCATCAATTACAATGTGTCAGTTACAAACTAAGAAAGGATTCAGAAAGAAATCTTTTTTATTATTATCTGAAAAATGTAAAAGTAGAATTAAGAAAACATTTCTTTTCTGCTTTTAATTGTTATTCTAGCCAACACTCCAAACCACAGATGTGGGGCAACATCTCACCAAATTTGAGACAGCTTCCTCCTGTAGGTTTACGAATGGGGCAACGCTCAAACCATGTCAGCTGAACACGTCTACACCATTGCATCTGCTTTTATTTTATTTAATTAATTAATTTTTTTTTTTGCCTCTGTTTTTAGAGTTCATACAAGCCAGGGAAACCTTGAACACTTTCATGTGATTTCAAGAGTTGGGTAGAACAAGTGCCCCTTAATGATGGAGTAGACTCTTTCTGCTCAAGCCTCAAATATTACAAAGTGGCTGCCCATTTGAAGGGGTGATTCTTTTTTGAAGCCACAGAAGCTGAGCAATCTGGAAGAGATGCAGGGAGTGTTCCTGCTATAGACGGAATATTTGTGTTCCTCCAAAATTCAAAAGTTGAAACATAATCCTTCATGTGATGGTGTTAGGAGGTGGGGCCTTTGGGGTGATTAGGTCATGGGTGTGGAGCCTTCATGAATAGGATTACTGCCCTTATAAAAGAGACCCCAGAGAGCTGCTTTCCCCCTCCTGCCACTTGAGGACACAGCTCAAGACAGCCATCTATGAACCAGGAAGTGGGTTCTCACCAGACAATGAATCTGCCAGCACCTTGATCTTGAGTTTTCTAGCCTCCAGAATGGTGAGAAATATATTTCTACCGTTTATAAGCCATCCAGTCTATGGCACTTCTGTTATAGCAGCCCGAACAGATTAAGACATTTCCTTTTCATATTTGGAAAGCCAAACTCAACTAGGGAGCAGGAAAGAATAATGTGACAATTTTCCAGTTTCCAATTTTTTTCTTAGTGTTATTTCTAAAATAACAATCGATACTGTGGACTGCTGGAAGGGAAAGCTTGTAACAATAATTCCAATGATCTTATCTAATAACAAGTATTTATATAGTCATGTACCCATAAAGTTTGCAAGCAGGCTAGAAATATATACTGCATGGTAAGTTCTATGTCTATTGGTCATCTTTGGGCTCTTTGTTTGTGTTGGGGCATTTCTGCCAACTCATTGAGCATAGTGGTCCTTGAGAGCTCCTGTATCAGGGCCTGTATCTTTGCTTTCATCTGCGTCCTTTGCATCTCATCTTTCTGCAGCAACTTGGATATCCAGCAGAGTAGTGAACAATAGGCATTCAAGTGCTCTGACCATCATCTCCCTTCGCACCTTTTGCTCACAGGCTCACACCTGCCCTAGTTTATCTTCCATCTTCACCACATGGACAAACTGGCCCAGAGACTGGGCTTCTTGGGATACAGTACAATTCAGCACAGCGCAGTAGGGTCTGGAACTCTTCCCACTTCTCCCTCTCTACTCTCTTTAACTTAAGTCTGGTTCCCTCCCTACCACTCACTGAAACTGCTCCATCAGGACAGTGGGTGACATCCTTAGTTGTCAGTGTAGTAGACACTTTCCAGTCCCTATTTGACTATCCACATACCTGTGGTCTCAGCCCTCACAGCACATCACTTCTTTCAGCTGTGTCCTTCCCCAGAGCTCCAGACCTGTAGATCCAACTGCCTGCTGAACACTGGACGTTCCCTAAGCACCTCAAACTCAATGTGTCAACACCAAACCCACCTGCTTCCCCTCAAGCCCCCTGTGTCCCCAACCTGGTGAGTGGCTCCCCATCGACACAGCCTACTGGACACAGATGATGATCAGCCCATTCCCTTCCTTGTCCTTCCTCACGGGGCCCTTATTTTGTTCAGGCATCCACGCCCTCTACTCCTGGCCCTACCCCCGACTCGAGGGGTGGACTTGATTTGCTCTAAGAGTATCCCATCCCCCCTTGCATGTGACCCAGTTCTGACCAGTAAGTAAAGGCAATCGAGTGAGGGCTTCTGGGAAAAGAGACATGCTTTGCCTGGATGCTATAAATCTGGATGTGACATCTGGAATTGCACTTCCGGACTGAGGATGAAGCCAACTCAGAAGAAGGAGTCTATAGCAGCCAGGAGCACAGCAAAAGGCAGAAAAGAACCTGAGACTGTGATAATGCAGTAAGCCGCTGAATCCCCCAGTCTGGAACACTCTGTCATGGGAGATAATCCACCTTCTTATTGTTTATGCTGATTTGGGTTTCTGTTACTCCTAGCCAAAACTCTCTCTCCTCTCCCTCCCACCCAATCCACTGAAGAATCCTGCCAGTTACCTCCACCAAAACACATCCCAAATCCCTCCCTCCACTGATCTCCATCCCCACAGCCAACATCCTATTCACTCATTGCCTAGACAACATTAAAATGTCTCCTCTGGTCTCCCATGCCTCCTCCCAGCAACAAGACTTCACATCCCAACCTCTCAGCCTGACCTCTACTTGGAGTCCAGATCAGTGACATAAGTCCCCTTCATAGCTCCGCCACTGCCCTCACATCCTGGCCACTGCTTTCTTCTCTAACTACAATACGTAGTTAATTAATCTCTCCTTCCAACACGCCAAGGTCAATCCTACCTCAGGACCTTTGTAGGAGCTGTCTCCTCTGTCCAAAGGCTTCTCCCTCAGATCCCCCAGAGGCCAGGTCATCTTACCCTTCACTTCTCTCCCCAGAGACCCCTCCTGACTATCCCATCTACTAGCCCCATTCAGCGTGCCTCCAGCACATTCTATATTGTGACAGTTTTCTTCCTTCAAGGCACTGTCACCCTGTGAAGGAATCTCATTACCTTTTTAATTTGTACTCCCACTAGAATGGAAGCCCCATGAGGACAGGCAACTTGACTCTTGTGTTCACCACTATATCCCTAGGTCTAGGACAGCACCTGGCGTGGGGTAGGCAAACTGTTTAACTTTGTCTATCACCACCAATTCTGCCCTACATTATGCTTGTAATTCTTTTTTCTGAAATCCCTAGGAAAAAAAAAAAAAAAGAGAGACTTCCCTGGTGGTCCAGTGGTTAGGACTCCACGCTTCCACTGCAGCGGGCACAGCTTCATTCCTGGTTAGGGAACTAAGATCCTGTAGGCTGCACGGTGCAGCCAAAATAAATAAATGAATAAAATAAACTAAAATTCCTGCAATCACCTCCTCATCGACCAGGCTGAATCAACGCGTGATTTTCCAAGGCGGGACACGTGGACCCCGGGGTGGAGTGGTGGTAAACATACTTCTGTGAATGTATACAAAGGTCCTGAAGGTTCTTGGGGATTTCTTTTTTTTTTTTTTGCGGTACGCGGGCCTCTCACTGTTGTGGCCTCTCCCGTTGCGGAGCACAGGCTCCGGACGCGCAGGCTCAGAGGCCATGGCTCACGGGCCCAGCCGCTCCGCGGCATGTGGGATCTTCCCGGACCGGGGCACGAACCCGCGTCCCCTGCATCGGCAGGCAGACTCTCAACCACTGCGCCACCAGGGAAGCCCTCTTGGGGATTTTTTTTAAAATTTTGTGTGTTCAGGTGATCATCGACATTCAGGATCACCCAGCAGCATAGACTGCTACTTTTGACCAAGCATTGCCTATTTTTGTGCCTGTGTTGGGTGCGTATTTAGGTTTGGCCCCAAGTGGGGCCAGCTTTCCACAGTTTTACAGGTAATTGTAAAAGCATCTATAAAATTATAGATGATTTTAATTCATAAATGGTGTTATCTATATCACACGAAACCTAAGTCATACCACAAAGGGCTGAATGAATGATCGCTTGTCAATTGTACACATAAGGTGCCAGAACAAACACCACAGAGATCATATGGGACAAACACCATAGGCGTGCAGCAGTTTGCTTTTAGCAAAACTCATTCTTCATGTTAATGCTGTTGGTTTAAAGTTTATTGGTTTTGTAGAGATTTGGGGGTTCAAAAGTTAGTTTTAGATTTATAGTTGTTTAAAACCTCTAAGCATTAAACATTCCAACCTTATCTTAAGTTTTCAAAGACGTAAGTGAACTCTATAATAGAAATAATTTAAGTCAGGACTTGCAAGAACATTTTGTTGTTTTATACAATGTGCCACGTGATGTGTACGTACGTGGTTATTCACTGCAGCGTCCTTTGTGGGAACGAAAGACTGGGCACAATTCGAAAAGTCCAGTCAATAGAGAATTGGTTTTAAAATGTTTGGCACATCTATACAGTGGACTACAATGCAGCAATAAAAAGGAGAAGGAATCTTATAAGTACTCATAGGAAACAAACTCCATTAAGTGAAAAGTGCAAGTTGTCAAACAGTGTGAAAAATGAGAAAAAGGAAGAAAAAATATATATACACACACATATTTGCTTGTATGTGCATAAAATACGTCTGGAAGGATCCACAAGAAGCAGCAACATTGGCTCCTCCTTGAGAGAACCAGACATCTGGGGGGACAGAAGTGGAATGGAGACTTCTCAGCAATCGGTTTTTTTTTGGTACGCGGGCCTCTCACTGCTGCGGCCCCTCTCATTGCGGAGCACCGGCTCATGGGCCCAGCCACTCTGCGGCATGTGGGATCTTTCCGGACCAGGGCACGAACCCGTGTCCCCTGCATCGGCAGGCGGACTCTCAACCACTGCGCCACCAGGGAAGCCCTCAGCAATCATTTTGCACTTGGAATTTTGAGCCACATAAATATTTCTTCCAAAAATAAACAGAAATATAAAAGGTGGCATCTATAATTATGCACGCTCACACACAGGCATCTCAAACTGCCTTTGGAGGCGCGGCAGAAGACACAGGTGAGAAAAATCAGCAGCACTGGGACCCTGGCACTCTGGAGAAAGGAAGCCTCCTTGCAAGTTATAAGGTCAAGTGCAGCCTGTGGAACGCACACACAAGGGAGGCCAGGAGAAGCTGAAGAGCTCAATTTGTATGTGAAATCATCTGATTTTGACATGTTGCCGAAAAAGTCTTTAAAACTTTACTGCTGATATCTAGCCAGAAATGTATACATTAAGTGCACAGCTCGATGAATATTCACAAGGCGCACACAACAGTACAAGTAACATCCAGATCAAGAAATGGAAGATGGGGCTTCCCTGGTGGCGCAGTGGTTGAGAGTCCGCCTGCCGATGCAGGGGACACAGGTTCATGCCCCGGTCCGGGAAGATCCCACATGCCGCGGAGCGGCTGGGCCCGTGAGCCATGGCCGCTGAGCCTGCGCGCCCGGAGCCTGTGCTCCGCAACGGGAGAGACCCGCGTACCGCAAAAAAAAAAAAAGAAATGGAAGATGGCCAGCTCCCTAAAGCCCTCCGCTGCTCTGTTCCAGTCACTACCCCCCCACCTACCCCCACTACTATCCTGACTTCAGACAGACTAGATTCGTTGTGCCTGCCTTAGTACAGTGTACGAACAGGATCACAAGTACTGTGGTCTGGCATCTTTCTCTCAACATTGTGCCTGTGAGATTCATCCGCCTCTTGTGTGCAGTTGCAGACAGCTATTTCTTACTGTTCATACTTTTCCATTTATTCATCCATTCTCCTGTTGGTGGGCATTCAAGTTGCTGCCAGTTTGGGCCTATAAAAGAGCTCAGATATGAATATTCTATTTCATGTCTTCTTGTGAACAGGCCTAAGCATTTTTGTTGGGTATGTTTCTAGGAGTGGCATTACTGAGTCATGGAGTATCTGTTTAGCTTTGAAAAGATACTAACAGTTTCCCTACTGTGTTCTCGGTTGCTCCACGTGCTTGTTTTGGCAACTTTAAAAAAATCCCGACCAAAGCAAACATCTGTAGGCCGCAAGTCTCTCACCTCTGGCCTAGTGCATCTTCAGTTCTCATGGGAGAAAGATCTTCATGAGGTTGAGATCTCAGCACATCATCTCTTGATTAAGACCGTACGGGATTCCCTGGCGGTCCAGCGGTGAGGACTCCGAACTCTCACTGCTGAGGGCCCGGGTTCAGTCCCTGGTCAGGGAACTAAGATCCCGCAAACCGCACAGCAGAAAACAAAACAAAACAAACAAAACAAAAAAACCCAAACCTTGCAATGTCTCCCACTCCTTGGATAATGGCCAAACCCCTTAGCCTGGCATCAAATGCTTTCTGCAGGCTGCCCTTCTTTTTTCTGCCTCTTTTCTTTAATCTTCACTTTCCACCGTCGATGGGCCCATCCGTGCCATTCTGAGGGCTCTGGACGGCCGTCACGTTCTGTTAAGTCTGCACGCCTTGAGATGTGCTGTCCCTCTTCCTCTGGCTTCCCCTTTCCCTTAGTAGGCCAGGCCAATTTATGTACTTTATTCTCTCCACTAAACTACCACCCCAAGTCCTTGGGAACAGTGTCCTGCCTTCAGTCTCTCTACCCCAGGGCCTATCACAATGACTGGCACAGGGAAGGTGCTCACTACATGTTTGTGCCACAAACTTGGAATCTTTGATGCTATCATTTTTTAATGCAAATAGGAGAGGGGAAAAATAAAGAAAAGTAACCTATAAGGGAAAAGCATCTGAAAAAGAATATATGTATATGTATAAATGAATCACTGTGCTGTACACCTGAAACTAACACAACACTGTAAATCAACTATACTTCAATTTAAAAAAATTACTAATTCAACAAACATATAATAGTTTCTGGGAACGAAGTGGTGTCAAGATTAACAGGGCTCCTACCCTCATGGAACTCATACTCCTGTGAGGGAGACAGGCAACAAATAACTAAACACATAAAGCAATTACAGAATGTGATCAGAGCCATAAAGGAAATATGCAAGGTGATGTGAAAGGAAGAAACAGAAAAAGGGGAGATTAGAGAGGGACAGGATTGCCAGAATGGATCTCAAGAAGAAGAAAAGAAAAAACTTAGTGTTCTCAGCAAAAAAAAAAAAAGAGAGAGAGAGAAAAGGATAAATTTCCATCTTACCCTACTCCCCCCAACTGTTCTTCCCAAAGGCAACCACTGGCACCACGTCCTTGTGCATCTTCCTGAAATATACAATGAACGTATAACTTTATACTCAATATAGCTATTTAGTCTCAATAGATGCTGTGCAGACAACTGGAGATGGGGAGCTGCAATCCTAAACTGAAAGGCCAAGAAAGGCCTCAATGAGATGGTGACATCTGTGCAAAGATCCAAAGGGGATGAGGAATAGAGCAGCACTGGTCTGACGCAGTGCATGAAGCATTCCAGGCAGAGGGAGCAGCAGGCGACAAGTCCTGAAGCAGGACTGCCCCGCCTACTTGAGGCTGGGAAGGTGAACCGAGGGAAGCAGCGGTGAAAACCGTTTGAAGTGGGCCAGATGGCAGAGGAGTATATGTCACTTTAAGGACTTGAGATTTTATTTTCTTTTTTTTTTGGCGGCGCAGCGCAGCATGCGGGATCGTAGACCCCTCACCAGAAACCCGCGACCCCTGCAGTGGAAGCGCAGAGTCTTAACCACTGGACCACTAGGGAAGTCCAATAATTTCTTGAATGAGAAGGGAAGGCACTAGAGTTACTGATCAGGAGTCAGAGTCTGACTAGTGGTTTTCAAAATTCAATTCTTCCGTGAAGAGCGGCCTCATTCTTTTTCGAATGACTAGAATACGTAGCTCATTAATCTACTACGTGAAGGTGAAGGTGTCATCGTTTCTCCGGGCCTCTCAAATGGACATTTAGTCTGTTTCCAATTTTTCGGACTCAAAGTACTCCATGAATTTTCTCTTCTTCTTCTCCATGAATTCCAGCTGACAATTTTCCGATTAAAACCTTTTTCTGCATTAACCCAACTGAATCAGTCCTTCTAAACATAATTTTCTTATTCATTAAAGAAACTGGGTAACATGTGACCTCACAGGTTCCGGGGTTCCCAGCTCAGACCCCCCCCAGCCTGAAGCTCTTTCCACCTCAGAAAGGTGCTTAGGTGAGCCACGTGGTTAAAAAACAGGCAGGAGCCGGATGGGCGTGCTTCCTGTTTCACTTCTGCACAGGAGTAGATCAGCCGGCGAGGGGGTCTGAGAGTGGGTCCGCGTACTAGGGCCGGTGGGGGCCGGGACTCAGACGCCCACTATGCTCCTGAGACAAACCGCCTGCACCCCTGGCCCCCCAAAGGAGGGATGACTTAAAAGAAGCTACAGAAAGGCCGGACCGCGAGCAACCTTGTATGGTAGCCGGGCCGCAATTCCATGGCCTTCGCAAAGACCCGCGCCTGCGCACTGGAGACCCGCGCGTGCCCGCGCCGACTTTCCTTCCCACGGCCTCCCTTCCCGCTCCTGCGCACTAGGACCCATTTCCCGCAGGCCAGCAAGACGGGAGACCTATTAGATAGCCTTTCTCACTGACTGAGTTGGGAGAAATTGGTTCGTACTTGAACCTGTTGTCTCTCCCTTCCCAGTCTGTGAGATCCAATTGACCCTAGAGGGAAGAGACCCTATCCTGGGGCTTTCCGGGAGCTGACGGGCGCTCAGGTATCCAGCAGGGTGGTGACCGGCGGCCACGTGGCGGGCCTCCGCCAATCGGCGCGCAGACCGCACTTTGCAGCTCAGCTTCAAACAAACTACCGTGAGGCGAGAGCTGCCTGTGGGGCCCCGCCCCCTCGCCTGGGTCTGGGGCCCTGCGAGACGGCGGGCGGGTAGGGGCGCCGAGAGCGGGGGCGGGGCGCAGTGGTCGAGTGACGGCCCGCCTCACCTATTCGGGGCCCGGGCCGCGGCGCGGTGGGCCCCGTAGCCAATGGGCGGGGGCGGGGGGCGGCCCGGCCGACGGGGAGGGGGAGCCCGCGGCTGGGGGACGCGGGGGGAGGAGGGGGCGGGCTCCCAATCCGGTTCCATCCGGTTCTCCCACCGCCCCCGCCGCGGGTCCCAGCAGCTCGGGCGGCGGGAGGAGCGGCAGCGGCCAGGCAGCCCAGGTTCGCGAAGGCTCTCGGCGCGCCGCGGCCCGCAGGCACCCGGCACGCGCCCGCCCTGCCGCGACGATGCCCAAGAGGAAGGTGAGCGGCGGCCGCGGCCCTCACACGCCCCCCTCCGCCGCCCGGCCGGCCCCGGCGCCCCGCGAGGCCCAGGCCCGCCGCGCTCTCGGCACCGTTGGGCCCGGGAGGCGTCCGGACCTGCGGCGGGAGGGCGCAAGGCGGCCCCAGGCGCGCCGTTCTGGAACGTTCGGCGGCCCGAGGAGCAGGGTGGGAGATTCGAACGCGGCGGCGGGAAGCCGCTGACGTCACGCGGCCGAGCATTGTTCTCGCGGGCGGGCGGGCGCTGGGCTCGCGGGCACTTTTGTTTGCGGGCTGCGTCCACTCGCCGTCTGCTTTCTCCCGCAGGTCAGCTCCGCCGAGGGGGCGGCGAAGGAGGAGGTAAGAACCCGCTCCTCTTCTCTCCCGGGGGTGGTTTCGGTTTGCACCGCACCCCGCATTCCTTGCTCATTTTCCTTTTTTTCTCCCAAAGCCCAAGAGGAGATCGGCGAGGTTGTCAGCTGTAAGTAAAGCGAGCCCCCTGACCTCTCTTTTCCGTGGGATCCTACCCAGGGAAGAAACTCAGTGCTATCTTTGCCTTTCAGAAACCGGTTCCTGCAAAAGTGGAAACGAAGCCAAAAAAGGCGGCAGGAAAGGTAGGTTTCACACTCACCTTAAGAGATCGTGGTGTCTTCGAAATGCTGCAGTGCTACCTAAAGCGCATTGCCAGCAGCTGAGATCTTGACTTTGAGAATCTCAAAATCAACTACAGTTTGATGTCATAGTCTCCTAAAAAGTCATAGTGTTACCTTATTTATCACTTTAATTCTGTGTTATAGTAACTTCAGTAAACAATGCTTTTTCTGGTTTGGGTAAAATACAGTAGATGTAGTCATCATCCCGGTTTACGGGAACATAATGTATCACCTTAATGCTGCTGCAGAATTTGGGAAACTTAAGACGGCTAAAAATATTGAATAACTTTCGCTTACCAGGGAAATCCATTCTTTGTGTTGTGTATGTTTTGGCTAGGGGTCCTCTGTTGGTTGCATGCTTGTACTTCCTCTTTTGACAATATCAGCGAGGCTAGGACTGAGGCCAGGAGATAGGGAATGTGTAAGTTTTTGCATATAAGGTGCTTGAGGCAAGGTAGGGGGACATATCTTATGTCCAGGGGTAGATCAAGAGCTGTGTTCTCTGAAAACATGATTAACAGTCTTCTAAAAGTATTTTATATACCATTATATGTATAGGAGTTCACTACGTTATTTTATCGTAAATAGTATGATGATTGCTGCTCTAGAATAGATTCATGATTGCTTTATTCACATTGCCGGTCTTTTGGGTAGTTGTTGGATATATATATGTAGGTTTGAAAATTTTTAAGTTGGAAAAGCTAAATGTGTGCATGTTATTTGTAACTTTGTGTTTGGATTTAGCATTGATACCACCCTCTGTAAAGCTCTTCCTTGTTCTTCAGGGGAAATTCATGGTGTGATTAATTTCTGTTTACTCAAAACTTAAGTGAGAGTTTGCTATTAGAAGTCTCTCCCCAAAATCCTTATCGTCATTACCCCTTTCCTAAAAGTGTAGGTGAAAGGTAAACACTGCATAATCAAAGATTCCTTTCATTTCTTTCTTTAAACATTGTACAGAGCTGAGTGTAAAAATCTTAACGTTTTTTCAATAGAAAGTTCTGTTTTGTGATCCTTTTTAAGAGGGTTCAAGGAAGGTGTAGGCGTAGTATGTCAACTTGAAATTTCTTACACCAGAAAAGAATGGGATAATTCTGTATGAGAAATAAGAGTAGGCGGGAAAAATAGTGGCTCTTGTTGCAAAAAGTCTGCTTGAACAGTGTACTATTTATTATTACACGTTTTATTATTTGCTTTTTTAAATAAACTGATTGGCTGGAATACTAGGCCTGTTTTCTCTTAAATTTTTCTTTTCTTTAATTTTTTAAAAAATTTATTTTTATTGGCAGTCTTGGGTCTTCGTTGCTGCGTGCAGGCTTTCTCTAGTTGTGAGTGGGGACTACTCTTCGTTGCAGTGTGCGGGCTTCTCATTGCAATGGCTTCTCTTGTTGCAGAGCACGGGCTCTAGGACCACGGGCTTCAGTAGTTGCAGCACGCGGGCTCAGTAGTTGCGGCTCGCGGGCTCTAGGGCACAGGCTCAGTAGTTGTGGCATGTGGGCTTAGTTGCTCCACGGCATGTGGGATCTTCCCGGACCAGGACTCGAACCCGTGTCCCCTGCATTGGCAGGCAGATTCTTAACCACTGTGCCACCAGGGAAGCCCAAATTGTTCTTTCTTTATTTACCTGCGTCTGTATTTTGATTTGCCCTAAAATTTTTTTTTAATGAAAACAGTTCAAATTTTACCTCCAGTTGGGTTTGGGACATCAGTTATAATCAACAGGTAAGTTTTCACGTCAGTGTTTCTTGAGAAACAAACCTGTCAGTTCAGTTTTCCCAAAAGAAAAATGATGGGGAGAGGGGAGGAGCCTTTTTCTCCTTTTAGTTTCAATAATATATCTTTGTCTTCATAACCGAATCGTTTTAAAGCCTTAAACAGGAGGTAAAGCTTTTGATGTATTGATTACCATACTACAGACGTGTTGATTTATTTTGTTTTGTGTCACTTTCCAGCTGTTGATAGTTAAAATGGTATTATTTCAGTCCAGGCTATTGCATAGTTCTGTTTTCACGTTTCAGGTTTTACATTTTTGTTACTGTGATAATGGTTATTAAATTAATGAGAAATCTAAAGAAATCAGATTATAAAAGAATCATTTTTAAATACAGAAACGATTGTCACGCTTCATAGTGGCAATGTATGTAGCGGTGTTGTCCCAAATATGTTTGTTTAGGTAATTTATTATTCTAAAGATACTGAATTACTAGTAGTTGTCATGCATTCATGTATGGAATGCCATTATAGAAGTATCAGTCACTATTGGTCTTATCTAAGTCGGCTGTTAACTACATTCTCTACTTACAGGAAATACTTAAGTGTCTTCTTCCCAGTTGATGGTGTCCAGAAATACTGTTTTATATTACTTTAAAGTGGCTTAACCTTTGAATCTCTTATCATCATACTAACACCTGTGCTTTTCAGGTTCTTCAAACACCTAAATGAAAACGATAAACTCAAAATTGATCCTTTTAGCTACTTCTTATATGATATCAAGGGACTAACTGTAGCAGAACTGTAGTAGGATAGTCAGTCTGACCTTAACAACATGGTGCTTTTCTCAGGTGAAAGGTCTTAACTGTGAGGGTAACCATCTTGTCAAGACAGTGGTTATTTGACAATTTGATTATTTTTCCTGCTTAAAGAGTTTGGGGGTAGGTAGGGTTATATTGGGGAAGCGATTCCTCCAGCAGTTCTTCACTTCATTTGTTCTCTCATGTGGAACTTTAGAGAATAGCGGGTAATTGAGAAAGTGGAGAAGGGTTGTAGCTGAGGCTTTAGGTTTAATTAGGTTTAATTGTTGTAAGTCTGATGACACTTGGTGTGCAGGTGCTGTTAAGGGTCTCCTCAGTGTGCTGTGTGGTCCTGATTACTGGGGGTGGACCTTAAGGTGTGTCCTGTAACTCAGAGGTGACACACGACCACATTAACATTGCAACTGCGGTGGATGCAATCTCTCTAGCAAGTCAGAAAATGTTAGTAAGTGCAGGGTTGATACTTAAAATATATTCTTGTTCTGTCACAGGATAAATCTTCCGACAAAAAAGTGCAAACAAAAGGGAAAAGGGGAGCAAAGGGAAAGCAGGCTGAAGTGGCTAACCAAGAGACTAAAGAAGACTTACCTGCAGAAAATGGAGAAACTAAAAATGAGGAGGTCAGAAGTGTTTGTGTGTTGTTCATTTTGACTCTGAAGAGTAGATAATAAACTATATTTTTATGTAGCAGATAAGGCAGTCTTTATCCTTTAGGATATTGAACAGAGTTTTGTACAGTAACTCCCAAGTGAATGGACAGATTATTTTTATGCATTAGATCCTATTTGAAAATATATGTGTAAATGGGTTTTTTTAAGTGAGTGAACAAGAAATTGTAATGTATTCAGAATTTCAAACTCAGATTCATGATCTTTATTGTGTATGGGGTTCATTAATTTAATTGCTTGTGTGAGTTTTTAAAAAGATTTAATTTACTAAATGGTATAACACATTTTTCTTTCTTTAACATGACCTAGGGGTTTTCTTTAAACAAATATTCTAGTCTTTTTTCTTCCCCAAATTGCCATCTGTAGAACTGTTAATAATCTTGTTTGGTTTTTATATTCTGGATATTGCTTTAAATTTTTTTAATTGATTCCCTTCGTTTGTCTTATTTTTCCCACTTTCTAATAAAGAAGCCTTATTTTTCTTAAAAGCCACTTGTCTAGGATTAAGTAGTAACTTAGATTAAGCAATTAAAAAGATTGATGTCCTTAATCTTTATCCTTTTAAGCTCTGAGAAAAAGAGGTTTTACCTTAAAAAAAAAAGTGTGTTGCAAGGTTGTGGTAAATAACTTTTTAAGCCAAGCCTTTTTTTTTTTTTAACATTGGTTAAGCAGAAAATATAAATAGAATATTAATTTTTAGACTTTTATACTTATAGATCAGATTTTAACGTAATAACTACTTACTCCCCCGATTTGCAGTCACAAATTCCTAAATCTAACCCCAAGTCAAATATTATGTGATAGTAAGATGAAATTAACTAATCCAGTTATAAGGGGAGAATGAGGCCTTCTGATCCCTTTTATCAACTACAGTTGATTCTCGTTATTCATGATGGTTGTGTTCTATAAGGTTGCTCTGTACACTGGACGGTTGCTCATAGTGGAAATTCTCAAAATGTTCTCATCACAACATTTCCATCAACAGATCAAACCATAACCTTATTTTATGTGTCTCTGTTTAATGTATGTTTTGGGTAAGTTAATATTGAACTCAGGGCCAACAGAAACAGCACTGTAACTCGTGCCTCAGTGAAGCTGCCTAACGTGTGTCTTCACATGGCACGTCACAACCTTCTTGCATAGCACATAGTACTGGACAGCACTCTACTTGTCTAGTAAACTTTGTTGACCAAAAGCACAAAAAAAATGTGAAATGTGTGGCACTAAACAGAGTGTGAAAAAGACACTTGTTTACAGTGTTACAGCTGAAACAAGGCAGAAGGGCCTCAGCTGGGAATGTCTGTGTCGGGTGACTCATATTTTTGCTGCTCTGTATCTGCACGTACATGACCATGGAACATGAAACATGAGTATTGATTTGGGGTTACAAATAAATTTTAGTGAGTCAGTAAATTTATAAATACAGAATCTACAAATAATAAGGATTGAATGTATTGTTAAGACTTAATAATAGTAATGAGTAAAACTTACACTGTATTAAATGCTAAATATCTCTAACATTATAACACTGACACAAAAGTCAAATGTTCTATCACTGTTTTTCCTTTGATTTTGCAGAGCCCAGCTTCTCATGAAGCAGGAGAGAAAGAAGCCAAGTCTGATTAATATCACACACCTGGTCCTATCAGTGGTCCCTGTTTCCCTTCTTGTACAATCCAGAGGAATATTTTTATCAACTATTTTGTAAATGCAAGTTTTTTAGTAGCTCTAGAAACATTTTTAAAAAGGAAGGAATCCCACCTCATCCCATTTTTTAAGTGTAAATGCTTTTTTTTAAGAGGTGAAATCATTTGCTGGTTGTTTATTTTTTGGTACAACCAGAAAATAGTGGGATATTGAATATGGGAGGCTTTGATTGTCTTGGGTGTCAGCTTAACATTCCACAGATGGAGGGTAGCTTTTATATCCTATAATACAAAGCATACTAAATGGCAGTTTGGAGTCAGTTGCGCATTTAATGTCTTAAACACTTTAAATTACTTCTCTTCCCACGTTGTTTTTGGTAGAATTGTTTCCTAAAGCAAACCACTCACCCCTTGATCTTGGCTCTCCTGGGCAGAGTTTTGTGCACTCTGTAACATCTTTGGTCGTGGTAGTCCAGTTCTTCTAGTAACTGTTAATGTGCTGTGAACGATTGACAATTTGAGTATGTAGTGTATGTGATATTAAATTGTGAATTAGTGGGACTTACGATGTAACAGCATATCAATATTTGAAGATATTGGTACTTGATATCCTGTGAAGGAAAATTTGCCCCCAAATTTTAAGCTGGAAAGTCACTGGAATAACTGTTCAGAAAAGAATCACAACTACATGATTTTTTAGGTTTTTGGTACGTATGTTGAGAATTGTGTACAAGTTGAAATGTCTGTGTACTGATCCTCAAAACAACCAATAAAATCTCAATTATGAAAGAATTTCTTGAAGCACATGAATTAAGTTGTGGTTTAAATTTCATTTTAAAGAATTTTCACATTTGTTTTTCCAAAGTCTTAATAAAATTTTGGAAGAGTGGAATACTTCATTTTTTCTATAATACTTCAACAGTGTACTTTGAAGATGCTTTTGTGACTAAATTGGTTTAATGGGAAATCAGTCCCCTGTTCTCTGAAGCAAAATAAATACGTAATTATTCACTCTTCCTATGAACTACGCTTATAAATACTGAATAAGCTAGCACGAGATCTTATAGGTTTGTATTTGTGTATTATTTTCGAGATTCGCTTTCATGCAAGTCCTTGTCCCTCTGTTTTGCCGTCTAAATAGTCTTTAGAGGTGGTACTGGACACTGCTGATTTGGCAAATGCAGAAGTGGAGCCAGAGATGGCATCTTGCCAAGGTCACCACTAAAGAGGGAGAGGCCTTGGAACGAAGTGTAGAACTCTACGTTTGATGTTATTTTGCCTGTGGACTTGATTAGTAGGAGGCAAGAATGCTTTAAAAATTAGTCCTTGGGGAGACTTCCCTGGCGGTCCAGTGGTTAAAACTCAGCTTCCAGTGCAGGGGCTGCAGGTTCAATCCCTAGTTGGGGAGGTAAGGTCCTACATGCTACGTTGCTGTGTGGCCTGGCCAAAGATTAACGACGAGTCCCGGCGGATCATAGAACTCTGCAAGGGCTGTGTGCCGCTGGAATGCCCAGTGTGAACAGAGCTCACAGCGGTGAGGTGTGGCATCGTAAAACGTGAAACTACAGAAAGAAATGCAGAGGACATTGATTTGGGTTGAAATGACACCCAAAAGAGGGCTTTGGCAACTCTTGGGGAGTGGGAAAATTTTTGGTGGAGGACCTGAAACAGTGATGCAAGTAGATTTGCCTGTAGTTTTTAAGTTTTGTTAGACTGTTTGGATATGCAAATTTAAATGGAGCTGAAACATTTTCTCTTGCTGTGTGTATGGATACTTCATGCAATTTTTTGGTACCAGAATTTCTAGCAGCTACTTGTTGCAGTTAAAGGGTTATCTAAAAAAATAAAGGGAATTCCCTGGTGGTCCAGTGATCTAAGACTCCACGTTCCCAATGCAGGGGGCCCAGGTTCGATCCCTGGTCAGGGAGCAAGATCCCATATGCCTTGACTGAGAACCCCCATGCTGCAACTAAGACCTGGTGCAGCCAAATAGATAAATATTTAAAAAATAAACCAATGGGGAAAAAAACTAGTGAATTTTAACCCTGTAACCCATCTGGCAGTGTTCATCTCGTATTACCCAACCGTCCACCCCTAGGAATGTGATAAATGTTTACAGATGCAAAGATTTTCTTATTCTGAACTCATTGCTAGTAATATGTTTAAAGAGATTTATTAATTTTCTAAAAAGCACAACAGGTAAGGTTTTTTCACTTCTTGTATAGATTGATACCTAAAAGAAATTGCCTCTTTTATAGAAAATTGGAATGTAGTACTTCTAGATCCTTGCCTTAAGCATCCTTTTATGATTTTTTAATGATAAAATGAGCCCTCAAGTGGGTGTTCTCTTCAGCTGTCAAAAGAAAACAATTACTTTAAAAAAAAACCAAAAAACACGTTGAGGCATCTTTTCTGGCATCAGTACTTAGAAAAAGTTAATTTCTTGCCCTTTCAACAACTAGTTGAATGAGAACTGAGTGATAGGAATGGTTGAGTGGAGGTCAGTTCAGATGTCCTAGAAGGACAAGGAAGATAACTGTTTAGTAATGATGCTAACAAATCAGACAGTCTCGTTTGTTAACTAGAAAAGGCAGTTAGCAAGAACCCTGCATTCTCTTGGCTTGTTTGAGGTTGAATTTGACCTTTCAGATGTAGACTAATCAGGAATTAAGGCATGGAACCTGGTGCCTGATGCAGAGATGCATGATAATCACGGAGGCCCTGGGAAAGGAGTCTTGTCTGGGTGTTTGGTAAGTGTGTATGCAAGTGTGAGGGCAGGGGCAGGGAGAAGTGTGTGTGTGTGTGTGTGTGTGATTTCAGTACAGGGGCAATCCGTGCTCACTGGGGGAAAAACTCAGGAAACAGACAAGCTAAAAACACCCGAAATTATAATTCACTCACTAGGCAACTATTTAAAGATGCATTTTTCTCAGATCCTTTTCTGTGTTTTTACGAGTTTACAAAATTGGTGTCATTATACATCCGTGGGTTTTTTTGTTTGTTTGTTTTTTGGTTTGTTGTTATTGTTTTTTTGGCTGAGCCTCACGGCTTGCAAGTTCCCCGACCAAGGATTGAACCCATGCCCCCTGCAGTGGCGACATGGAGTCCTAACCACTGGCCGGCCAGGGAATTCCTGCTACATCCTGGTTTGTAATCTTTCTCATACTGTGTGAACTTTCTCCTAGGTTAATGAGTATACTTACATAGCATTTGTAAGCACTGCATACTATTTTATTTCAAGAATGTAATTTGTCAGACATTTAGACATTTTCCCCATTAAGACAAGCATTGTGAAACTAAAATATGGGTGATTTCTATTAATGCATACAGATATATCCTAAATATATATTTGCCTGTCACAGTCCACAGTTGTTCCATGAGTTTGCAGTAAAAATACATAATTGCAAGACAGTTGAGAGTTTCAAAACATTAAGCTTAAATAGGTGATGAAGAGTTAAATAGATAATGGGAAGCAGCTCAGTAACAAATTGGTTTTCAGATCATAAATGTTTAGGGTTGTTAAAAAAAAAAAACAAAAATAAAGTAAAATCATTTAATCCCAGAAGCTGAAAGTAATTATTTTCAACGTGTTGAATTTTCTTCATATATGTTTGGGTTTTTCTTTATTTGTAAAATGTTTTAATGTTTGCTTATTTGTTCATTGTATGGCTGTGCCATAATTTGGCCATTACAGTTTTTCTTTTTAATTAAGGATAATTTTACCCATACTCAGAAGCAGTACAGTATACTTAGTCCCCATATTCTAGTCAACCAGTCCCCAAAGCCATCCAACCATTGCTGATCTAGACCATCCTTATTACTTTGAAGCAAATAAGGATGGATATTTTAAAAACAGTATCTATAAACAGGAACTTAAAAGTGAACAAAATGCACAGGAAGCAGATATTTACCTAGGTAGTAAAAATTATTAATTTATCTTTGGTCTTTTACGCATTTTGTCAGGGAGTTACATGCAGATTCAATTTAACAAGAAGCTGCTTTTTTCTTTTTCTTTTTAATCCAGTGTGGCTAGTTCCATCTTTAGCATCAACATATTACCTTCGGATGCTGATTCCACATTGATTTCTTTTTTTTAAGTAAAACATTTGCTCAAGTTTATTGAATAGCATTAGATTAGATAGGAAGCATTAAAGAATTGAATACCAGAGACCAAAATAAAAAATCTGTGCAAAAGATGTGAGTAAAAAAAAAGTTCATCAAAGCCAAGTTATAAAAGAATACATCTAAGTATCACTCTTTAAATCCTTTTCCTGAATATTCTATGAATTTAAGTCTGGGGATCTTTGAATGTTACTAGCTTTTATCTGTGACAGTGAATCTTATAAAGGAACTCTTTAAAAGTAGAAGAAGGACCTCGTTCCTCTCCATAGTGAGCTTTTAAACGAAGGATATCTATTATGTGAACCCTCTGTCTCTTGGAAGGCTGAAATTCCATGGGTTTCCCAGGCAGCTTTTAAAATCTTTTATGGGGGCTTCCCTGGTGGCGCAGTGGTTGAGAGTCCGCCTGCCGATGCAGGGGACACGGGTTCGTGCCCCGGTCCGGGAAGATCTCACATGCCGCGGAGCGGCTGGGCCCGTGAGCCATGGCCGCTGAGCCTGCGCGTCCGGAGCCTGTGCTCCGCAACGGGAGAGGCCACAACGGTGAGAGGCCCTTTTTTTTTTTTTTTGCGCTACGCGGGCCTCTCACCGTTGTGGCCTCTCCCGTTGCGGAGCACAGGCTCCGGACGCCACCAGGGAAGCCCAGAAAATACTTTTGATTGAACTAACTTTAAGTTGAGCGCTGTAAATGAGAACTCTTGCTCATAAGATCTGGCTGTGGTACTTACTAGACTATGGCGTTGGTTAAGTCCCGCAATGTTTCCTTACATCTTTAACTGTGAAGATTACTGCTGTGTTTTAGGTTTAATTCATAACTGTAAGTTCTGTTAATATTATATCTCTGAAAGCACTTTGTTACCCAGAGAAAATTCAAGTTGAAAAATGTATGAAAACTAATGATACATTCAAGTTATGTATGAAAAAATTTAAATACACTAATCTGGTATGCATGATTCATAGAGAGGAAAAGCTGAAAGTCTTGCATGCTTGGATGTGTCTGTATAAGGATGTGGCTGTGTATTAAAATATGCAAGATTATAATTTCCACCAATGCTTATTTGGGTTTTCACAAGAAATATATTTAAAGACAGTCTTAGCTGTTGTAGCATGATTTCTCACTTTTTGCTTCACTTCTTATTTATCTTATTTTTTTTTAATTTTATTTTTGGCTGTGTTGTTGGGTCTTCATTGTGGTGCGCGGGCTTCTCATTGCAATGGCTTCTCTTGTTGCGGAGCACGGGCTCTAGGTGCGGGGGCTTCGGTAGTTGTGGCACGTGGGCTCAGTAGTTGTGGCTCGTGGGCTCTAGAGCACAGGCTCAGTAGTTGTGGCACACGGGCTTAGTTGCTCTGCGGCATGTGGGATCTTCCCAGACCAGGGCTCGAACCCGTGTCCCCTGCATTGGCAGGCAGAGTCTTAACCACTGCACCACCAGGGAAGCCCCAGAGAAAAATGCCCATTTTTGATGCTGGCCAAGACCCATTTTGAGTCCCGAAGTTCAGAAGAGCAGTGTGCTCCTTTGCCAAGTATCCAGGCTCTGTTTATCCCAAAATCTAAAAAAAACATTTTATTCATATTAGCTCAATTAAATTAGTTGAATTTAATATTTAGTTCATTTTGGCTTCAAAGATAAATAAGAGGGGCTTGGTGCAGTGGTTGAGAATCCGCCTGCCAGTGCAGGGGACACGGGTTC